AACTGTGCTTTCTCTCACAGCTTGAATTTTTAAAACCAACCATTTTGCATCCATTCATATTTAATAACTTCTACTAAATAACATTCTTCTGGATAAAGAAAAATGTTGATATTTTTCTGATATTTAATTATAAAAATATTCAAGCATTCAGAATTCTCTAAAGAATTGTGTAAAGAACACTTTACATTACCATCTAGAGTCTACAAGTAACATTTTACTGTGTTTATTATTATACTGTCACTGTCTACTCATCCATTCATCCATCCTGTTGTTCACCTTTTTTTATTTTTGTTACATTGCAAAGGAAATACATTTTATACGTAAACACTTCATTATGTATATGTATGATTCATAGTTTTTTTTTAAGGTAAATTTTATGCACAGTGAACCAACTGACCCATAATTCTACTATTTAATGAGTTCTGACAAATTTGTTAACCTATGTTTTTCCAAAACTCTGTCCAAATACAGGACATACTCATCGGCTCTTAAAGTGCCTTCATGTTTCCTCATGGTGAATTACTGCCACAATCCCCTGAAAGACAACCATTGTTCTGATTTTTTATCATAGATTCATTTTTCCATTCTACAACTTCATATAAAAAGAATGTAGTATGTATTTTTATGTGAAATTTCTTTTACTCTGGAGATTTTGAAAGTTTTGTTTTTCAGTGTGCATACAGTTCTTTATTGCTGACTAACATTCCATTGTAGGAATGTAACAGTTTATTCATTCTCCTTTTGGTGGATGCGTAAGCTGTTACCAGTGTTTTAGTATTGTAAATAAATTGGAATATTTTTGTACAAGTCTTTAAGGACAAATGCCTTCATTTCTTGTAGGTAGATAGCTAGAAATGAAATTGCTGAGTCACAGAATTTTGTACATGTTTTTTAATGAAATTGTAAGACTTTTTTTTTTCCAAAAAGGTTGTATCATTTCTTTATACATCCACCAGCAATATTTAGGCATTCTAGTTGCTCCATATCCTCATTAACATTTGATGTTATTACTGTTTTTACTTTTAGTAATTCTAATGATTACTGGGAACCAATTATAGTTTGTGCATCTGACTAATGTTGAATGCTTTTATGTGAATTGACTGGGCTTCTCATCATTTATCTTCCTCTGGGAAGTTTCTCTTCAAATCTTTACTCCATTAGGGGGACATTTGCTTTTATAATCAATATACAGAAGCTCTGTGTATATCCAGAGTTATATTTCATATGTGAAAATAAGCTTCTCACATATTTTCTTTGAGCTTATGTGTGACCTAATCATTATCTTAATGGTGTCTTTGATAAGCATCAGTTCTGAATGTAATGACATCTCATTTATCCAATTTGTTTCTTTTATGTTTATTGCCTTTCCATGTTTTATCTAAGAAGTCTTTGCCTATTTCCTAGTCATGGTGATGTTCTCCTGGGTTTCCTTCTGGAAACTTTATATCTTTAGTTTTAACATTTAGTTCTATTAGTCTAGGTAAATTAACTTTGGTTATTGTATGAGTTGAGGCCAAATTTTATTTATTTATTTATATATTTTTTTTATTATTTATATATGTATATATATTGAAGAACTGTTTGTTCTCTTTCCTCCCATTGGATTGTTTTGAATTTGTTGAAAATTAAATGACCATATACCTGTATGGATTTATGTCTAAGGTTTCATCTGTTTCACTCATTTATCTTTCAGTTCTTTGACAAATATTACATGGACTTGACTGATATGGCTGTAGAGTACATCTCAAAGTCAGATAATATGTGGCCTCAAAATGTTATTTTTCAATCTTCATGTGAATATGCTATGTCCTTTCCATTCCTATGTAAATTTTGTAATCAATTTATCAATTTTCACTAAAGAGAAAAACTTTTAAAAAAAGCCTCATGGGTTGTGAAAAGGATTGGATTGCATGCATACTTCAATTTTGCACAATTGACGCAATAGAGATATGAGTTGCTCTGGGTGAATGAAAGGGGAAACCAGAAATGAAGCTGAAATTTACATGTGCTTACTGTCAATTATAAAATTACATCTTGACATGGTTCTATAGCTTTTAATGGCAAATAGTTCCTACTATACTAAGTTATAGGAAAAGGTGTAAAAATAGGACAAGTAATAAGGAAGTCCTTGAGAGCACTTGAGACTGGCATGAGCAGGTCTAAGTTTAGGTGATGGGAACAGGATGGGGGTTGAGCATCCTAATGTTTCTACTGTGGCTCCAGTGGGTGTTGAAGTGGCTAAGACACAACATCGGAGGCTTCATGAACAAGGGGCCAGAGTTCAGGGAAACTATGGAAGGTATAAAGTAAGGAAAAAAAATCCCAAGAAAGACACAAAGTATAGAATCTCCAGATTTTGTATTTAAATTTTACCTTCTTTGACCTCTAAACTACTCTAGTGTGGTCTCACTGCTACCTTTCAGGAGAACCCTGAAATTTAAAGGTATATCTAGAAGAGCAGATTCTCTGCTAAACACAAGCAGAAACATACCATTCACTAACAACTCTCTTCATAGAAATATAACAGAATCCCATAATGTCAACATTGTTTTGCTCACAATGTCTTAAATTATAAATGAAAATTAGAAGACATGCAAAAAAAAGCAAATGTGACCTATACTTGTTGAAGTCCAAGAGAATTCAGATAATTATTTAATTCAGGAAACAAGGATTTTAAAGCAACCATTGTAACTTGCCCAAGAACATAAAAGAAAATATACCTATAAAAAGTGGACAAATAAAAATTATAGCAGATAAGCCACAAAAAATAAATAAAAATTTTAGAAGTGTAAAATAAAATGTTAGAAATAAAACATTACTGGGTGGGTATAAAAGATTGGAGCTCGCAGAAGAAAAAGTCTGGAATATAAAGAAAGATCAATAAGATTTAATCCTTAAGCCAATCACTGCAAAAGATGATACAAAAAGACATCACAAAGAAACCAATATTTAAAATTAATTTCTAGAGAAAGCATACAATTAACCCAAAAGAGAAAAGAGCAACAAAAAATAGAAGAAAACAAATAGCAAAGTACTTGACCCATCTCCATCCATGTCAATAAATGCATTAAATGTCACAGAATTAAAGACTACAATCCAAGCCTACTGCGGCATGTATGCCATGGCTTCACCACCACTGCCCTAGGGTAATTCCTATCAGCTTATTTCAGATCTTGTTAAAATAATGAAAATAATCAATACATGTTTTATATATGTTTAAATTTTATTTGGGGCTCAGGTTAGATGCTCTTATTCTGTGGGAATTTTAGTTATGTTTTGAGTTTGTAATAGGAAAAGCATGCACATGGTATAAGAGTACATTTGAAAGTACAGAAGAGCATACAGTGAAAAGTAGGTTTCTCCTTCTTCCCCTTAATATGTCAGCACTGTTGCTGATTTCTGGTGTGCCCTTGAAGAGACCAACTGTGCTAAAATAATTATATCAGATTCAGTCTTTTGTCTTTCCTAACAGTTGGTGGCCTAGGGCGACCCACCTGACTTTCATCTTTTTCACATAATATATCTTGGAAATAGCTCTATGGGAGGGGTTATGGTTGCTGTGTTTCCTGTTTGTTTGAATGGACATAAGGTAATTTATTTAACCAGACCTTCACTGTGAGCATTTAGTTCATCAATCCAAATAGTGCTGTAGTAAATGTGCTTGGCTCCTTATTTTGCATCTGTTTAATATGTCTGTAGGATAAATTTTTTGAGGTAAAATTGCTGGGACACAGTTTATGTACTTTTCTTTATTTTGGTAAGATTTTGCTAATTTGCTGTCTATCCATGAGAGCTGATATCCACAGAATTATATTCCCTACAAAAAATTATGAGACTGAAAATTGTGGTAATTACCAGAAAAATTACAGTATTTGTAGTAAATATCAGAATAATAAGTGATGTTAACTAGATGACTACAAATGAGTTCTAGGCCAAAGTTATAATAATATATAGACTGAATATTTCTTTCTCTTGACTCTTTAAAGTTGATGACCTGGCATCTGGTACCTACTGCCCTTGAAAGTAGACAGTTTTCATTTGTAATTCTTAGTTTAAATAATCGCCCAATCCTGTGAACAGCTGACAGGTAGCAGGTCCTGTTCTAAGTGATTTATGTCCTTCAATTCATTTAATGTTCACAACAATCCCATAGAGCAATTATAATTGTTGTCCCAAAGTACAGATGAAGAAACTGAGACCCAGGAATATTATGCAACTTGACAAACCTTGTAAGTCGTAGGGCTGGGCTCTGTAACCAAGGCAACTAAGAAGCCAGTTCAACCAATCCACATAATTATAATATTCCTACTGAGCATTTTAATGTTTTTTGAAAAGTCATGTTACATAAACAGACATCCGTCATTTCTTGAGTTACAAATAAGTTCACTGCAAATAATATTTTTCTTATGTCCTATTGTGTTTGCAAAAATTGCTTATCGATGAGATAAAAATATATAAATTTTTGTGTTTGTTTTCTCAAGGACACCAAAAAGTTAGAAAACAAGTTGGAATGCTCTTTTATGACAGTCCCCTCTATGTTAAACAAATAGCAATTTTACATTATTCTTTTTAAATTGATTACTCTCCAGTTATTTCAGAAGTATGCCCAGGAATCTCCCAAGAAACATTTATAATAATAAATATTAAAATATTTTTTTAAAAAATAGCTTCCTGTGGTTCTTTCAGTGAGCTCCCGTGACACTTTTCATCGGCACACAAGTAGTGGTATCCTTCTTTACCTTGACATGCAGACTTAGGTGAAATAGTGTAGGCATAAAAATTACATTTGGTAGGGGTCTGCTCAGAAGGGGTCACATAACAGTCATCTTTGATTTGTTAATAAATGGAACTTTTTTTAGTTGAAGTATATGTCGGCAACCTTGTTCATCCTAAAGGGGGGAAATGACCTGTTTTATAAAAGTTTATTTTCACATTTCATACACTGTAGTTCTGTTGCGTGTCTTTGATTTAGTAACAGTTTGTGTGTTTTTCTGTCACAGAGCACCGCGGCCTGTGGTGCGGAGCCTCACAGCGATGCCATCCAGCCCTGCCACATCAGAGAGGCTATCCGACGCCATGGCCACAAGATTGGCCCCCTTTCCCCGTTCACAGTATGTAATAACAGAGTTATAAAAAGTTATATTTATAATCTGAAAGAATTTTGATTTTCAAGTGGTTAAATGAAGAAGCAATGGAATTGTTGAAAGCAATTTGTGGTGACCATAATTTTGTTGTATAAAAGTGGCATAATTCTCTTGGGAAATAAGTTAGTCTTTTTGTCTCTTTTTGAGAGGACAAATTTTTTTCTACAAAATATTATTTTCTTTCAATTACATATTAAGCTTTGTGTTGGGGCTTATATCTTCTATTTTTCAAAGCTTAGGTTTATAAAACTTTCATCAAATTATATGTATCCAAATATTGTTAGAGGCACTTTATATTTTAAAATCGGTTAGACTGGCATTACCACTTCTATCAGATGTCCCTCTTCTAAACACACTTTGAGTTGGAAGAAGAAGAAATGATTGCTTTCCTGGCTTTGAACTGGGCTGAACTGCAGACAGGCTTTCACGTCTTCGAATAATTTGAAAGCTTATAATCATGGTTTTATTTTTTTAATGGAGAATTAAAGACTTGAGATTTCAGCATAAAGAAAGTGTGTATGCAGGGATGTGTTTTAATTAAGTGCTCATCTTTTATAGCTTTAAAAACACTATATTTATATAACAAGTTGTTCCAAGTGCTCTGCTTCTAAGAAATTGGTTTAACTTTCCAGAAATAAGATTTGATTTGCATAACTAAAGAACATTAAAATTTACTGGGTTAGGTTTTTTTTCCTAGTGCTGGGGATTGAATTCAAGGATTCTGCACCAAGCTACATCTCCAGCCTCCAGCCCACTCCACTCCCCCTTTTTGAGACAGAATCTTGCTGTCAGTAAGTTGCCTGGGCTGGCCTCAAACTTGCAATCCTCCTGCCTCAGTCTCACAGAGTGCTAGGATTACAGGTGTACACCGCCACACGTGGATAAAATTTCCTTGATTTGATATTAACTTCTGTTTTAATATAATACTCTAGAGTATATATTTTAATAAAACATAAAAACAATAAGTACAACTTAATGTGTTACCTAAGAATAGAATTTACTATTACTTGTTCACAAGAGTCATGATTTTTTTGTTTGTTTCTTTCCTTTTATTCTGGTGTTTAAGATAATGTTTCTTTTACCATCCTTTATTTTCTTTAGTTATTGTGAATTTTACGTCTTGTCAGTGTCAAGGCCAAGAATATGTTTTATAAATGTCTCTAGAAGCTTTTTATAATGGTGTTGATAATTTTCACTTTCATATGGTACTTAAAATTTGGCTGGTATCTCATAAGAACATGATTTTATTTTCTATCTTATTTTAGTGTTTTTTTTTTTTCTGAGGATTGAACCTAGGGCCTCATACATGTTAGGCATGTGCTCTACCACTGAGCTGCGTCCTAAGCAAAACATGATTTTAATACTGTTCATTAAAGCTATATATCCTTTTATATGAATACTTGAGGTCTTACAATTGTAAAGAAAGAATGAAATCGAAATCAAGTACCTTTTTTTTTTCTACATGATAGCTGAGATTATTCTAAGTGACTAGCCAAAAGAAAGATAAGCTTTATAGAAATGTGCTATTTGGAAGTAAGAATTTTAAACCCAACTGAAATAGAACCACTTGACAGTGAGCAATGTAAAGTATGAAACTATTAGATCCATACCTTAGAGCCAAATAATGACCAGTGAGGTGATAGTTTGGAGAGAGAAGAACATGGAGGCAGTGCTGGTGATAATTTAGAAGTGCTTGATGACAGCAAAGGGAAAAGGGATTTTTAGGAACTAACTTAAATGTTATCTAAAAGTAATAAATAGAATTTCATAAAGGGAAATATCTAGTGTAGGGGAAGAACCTCATAATCATGATGTCTTCTTTAAAATCAGGATGGTAGCTATTTCAGCCATTAAGGGATTGTTTTTGAGTAGACCAAGCAAATCACTCAAGAGCATCTCAGTTGATGACTCTGTGTGTGTGTGTGTGTGTGTGTGTGTGTGTGTGCGTGTGTGTGTGTGTACTTGTATATGTACATACACCCCCACCCCATGTCCAGCCTGGTACTCATGTGTTATTTCTTTTGCAGTATAAGACTGTACTGTATGTAAAACATGTGCTCTAATCCAGGTTTAGATACAGCTTACGTTAATGCTTATCAAATACATATAACCATTAAATTTTTTTAAACTAAGGATACAATTTTTAAATGCTTCAGTTAAGTAGATCTGGAAAATAGAAGAACTAATCCAGGACCTGAAGTGTTCACGTAGCCAGTGTCCCGGCAGACAAACAAATTAGCAGTGAATGGTGAAGAAACCCTACCAAGTGGGACACCAAGGTTTGATCCCTCCTCAGACCTCTCCTGAAAGGATCTGCTCCATTACCTCGCAATCTGAGATTTGTGCTCTTCGTAGCTGCACAGGATCAGGAAGACAGATTCATGGTATATATTGTAATAGGTTACATATGCCCCCAAGAATACTTGCCAGAGATGCTTGCCGCTGCATTTACCCCACCATAACTTGCAGACTACAATCCTAACATTACGCCCTAAATTTGCCACAAAATATCTAGCTCTTAGTATTATTTTTGTATTACTCTGGTATTGATAGTCTTTAGAAACAAAAGACATCATTCTACTTAGTGGTATTTCCATTTACAGATTTAATAATTTTTGTTCACTGAAGATTAAATGAACACTGGAAGTGAGTGTGCCTCTTTTTTCTAAATAGGAAATAGGTTAAAAATACTCTTAAAAGTGGGATGTATTTTCAGGCTTTGTATGCCAATTCTCAACATTACATAGAGAGGTTCTTTTCTCCTCATATCTGTTTGGGACTCTAAATGCCTCGTGTACATGGATGTACTGATCTTTCCCAAAATTTGAGAATCTCCCTATTATTTCACTGAATAGATGCTCTGTGTCTTTAACCTGTATTTACACACTCTTTGTGTAAACCAGTTATGCATAGATTTGGTCTCTAAATCATGTCCCTTAAGTCTCATGTTGCTCTGTTAATAATTCCTTTTTTTCTTTTAATACTGCCTGAATGTGATAATTCATTGGCCTTATTTTCAAGTTCTGATATTCTTAAAGCTTCCCACTGAGTTTTTGTCTGACTTCTGAACTTTTCATTCCAAGATGTCTGTCTGCTTCTTTATTAGGATCTCTGTCTCATTGTTGAATTGCTCTTTCATATCCTGGAATTGTCTTCCTTCATTCATTCAGCTATTTATTTGTATCCTCTCTAAAGTCATCGATCACTTATGAGATCAGTTGAATTGTTTGATGACTTTGGATTCAATTACTGAAAAGTAGTAAGCCTTTGGAGGAGTCATACACCTTGATTTCTCATATTTCTGTTTCTCTGTTGACAGTGCTAACCTGCTGGTGTGGGTATCTCTTCCACTTTTCTGTAAAAGTGTTCTTATGAGCCTCGGTACTGTGTTTGTGGAGTCATCCCTTTCTGCTTCTCTGTGCTTTCCTGTCATTCATTCATTCATTGTAGTGCTGGACATTGAACCAAGGACCTTTCTCACATTAGGCAAGGACTGTATCACTGAGCTATTTCCCCAGCCTATTTATTTTGAGACAAACTTAACTAAGTTGCCCAGGCTGTCCTTGAAGCTGATTCATCCTGCCTCATCCTTCCGAGCAGGTGGGATTGTAGGCCTGTGCCACTTCATCTGGCCCATCTGCTCTGTCTTTTTTCTGCTCTTCCTCTCCTTCCCTCCTATTTGATAGCCTCTTCTTTTGCCCAAGTTACTTGCAGAGTCACAAGAAGTATACTCCTATCTCTTATACAGAAGAGTCACTGTTAAAATCTTATTCTGTAGGAGTAATGAAAGTATTCTGAAATCAGTGGTGGGAAATACTTGCAGTGTGTCTATCAGTGTCTTTTCCATGTCTTATTTTAGTTACACAGCGCAATGAAGATTTCAATTTACAAATAAAACAGTTTTTAAGAATGCTCTAAAAAAGACTGGCTCAAGAGAAATGAACATCTTACTTAAAAGTTTTCTCACTAACAATACCTAACAAGTGCTTACATTTCTAATTATGTGGATTTCTAATCCAGTTTAACTCTTCCTGGTTTTCTGGGAAATATTTCTGAATAAATCTGAAAACACTATAAGCTGCTCAAAGATATTACAAAAAAATCTCAGTCACCTGTGATCCTTTTCTGGCAGACATTACATAAGTTTCAGGGTCAGATTCAATCTGCTTTGTTGAATCCACACTTAGGAACTTCATCACTATGACATTTTCCTGCTTTGGGCGGGGGGGCGTTGAGTCAGGGTCTCTCTGTGTAGTTGAGTCTGGCCTAAAACTCACCGTGTAGCCCAGGCTGGTCTCAAACTCACAGCCATCCTCCTGCCTCAGCCTCCCAAGTGCTAGGATTACAGGCGTGCGCCACCACATCCGGCTTCCTGCTATTTTAAAAATAACCTTAGGACTCCATATTGCCAGATGGAGTTGGTACAATTGTATTACACTGTCAAACTGTCTAGTTAACTTTTTGTTTTTTAATCAGCACAGAATGGATGAGAAGGGAAGAGAATCTTGTCTCACTTTATCTCTGCAGCAGTATCTTATTTTGAGATAGCCAGTGAGTTTGTTTATAAGTAATTATACAGGTCCATTTAGAAGAATCCTGGTGTTATTAAAAAGTTGTATTTTTCTCTTTTGTGCACAGTCATTATTCAAGAGCATTTTGCTTTTTCCTGCCTTTACTTTTTAAATTAGTGATAAAGTCTTCACCTTTAGGTTGAGCACAGGTCATACATCCTATGGTGATGTGATTACTTGCACAATTTAATTTCCATATTTGTGTTGCTTTAAATATATATATTTAAAAATCCAAATTCCAAGATATAACTGCCTAATCAAAACATTTTTAAGTAGTTCAGATATATAACTAGATGGCAGAACCTTTGAGTAGCAGAAAAATAATTCAAAAGAAACATGTATGATGATGTGTCTAGAATTATCCCCAAGGAATTCTAGAGTTTTTCAGGAACATAA